TTGTACCATGTTTCTAAATATGAACTCTTCAACTCTCTTTCCTATTATTTTTCATTTTTAATTGATTTTTTGAAATTAAAATATAATTACATTATTTCCTCCTTCCCTTTCCTCCCTCCAACACTTTCCATGTCTTCCCCGTGCTCCTTCTCTAAGTCATAGTCTCTTTTTCTTTAATTTATATTTATAATTTATATGTATAATATATATGTATTACACATATACACATTATATAAACACATATATGCACAAATATATAAATACAAATTTCTCAGTATGTTTTGTGTTACTTGTATTTATATGATTTCAGGGCTTATCACTTTGTATCAGATAACCAATTAGGGGGCTCATCTCTGGGGGAAGACTATTTTCTCTGGTCTCAGCACATCTTAGTTTCCTATAGCTTTTTGTCAGGAGTAGGGCCATGGAAATTTCCCTCTTGCACATTGGAATGTCTTCTGGTAGTTTACTTGTTCAGATCTTGTTCAGGCATCCATATTGTTGACATATCATGGCCAAAGCTTCTTTGTAATTTCTAGGAGTCAAAATCTCATAGCATCTTGGGCTCTCACAGTCTTCTGCCCCTACTTTTGGGATGTTCCCTGAGCCTTATATGTAGCAGTTTTATTATAGATGTATCTACTTGGGCTAGGCGCTCCATAATCCTTGTATTTGACTAGTTGTGATTTTCTCTCATAGATTCTGCCTATTATAAAAGATGTCTTTTTCATTCATAACAGCACTATTTGTAATAGCCAGAAACTGGAAACAGCCTAGATGCCCCTCAACCGAAGAATGGATAGAGAAAATGTTGTACATTTACACAATGGAGTACTACTCAGCAGAAAAAAATCAATGGAATCTTGAAATTTGCAAGAAAATGGATGGAACTAGAAGAAACCATTCTGAGCTAGATAACCCAATCACAAAAAGACAAACATGGTATGCACTCACTCATATGCAGATTTTAGACATAGAGTAAAGGATTACCAGCCTACAATCCACACTGCCAGAGAAGCTAGTAAACAAGGAGAACCTTTAGAGAGACATACATGGTCCCCTGGAGAAGGGGAAAGACCCAAGATCACCTGAGAAAATTGGGAACATGGGGCGTGGGGAAGGGAGCTAGGAGAATGAGAAGGAGAAAAGAGGAGGGATGCAGAGGACATGAGGGAGCAGAAAGTTTGAGTGAGGGAAGAATAGATGATAACAAGAATGGATATATCATAATAGAGGGAGATATTTTTGGTTTACAGAGAAATCAGGCACTAGGGAAA